TGAAAAAAAAGAAGGGCTAATAGTTTTGACTTTAACTCTACACTATTTGCTACGCACTCACACATGTTAAAGAAATAGTTCACACAAAAATGTTCACACATAAATTTTGCTCCACTTGTTGCAATCCTGTTTGAGTTTCTTTGTTCTGTTGAATAATAAGACACTCTTAAGATTTTTGGAAACTGATTGCTAATGACTAGTAAAGTGTTTCTCAACACTGTTGATGTCAACAGCTACTGGTTTCCAACATCCTTCAAAATATCTTCTTTTGAGTTCAGAAGAAAAAAAGAAACTCATAAAAGATTAGAACCACCTGAGAGTTCTAATTAAAATTTCTTAGGTGAACTGTACATCACTTAGATTAATAGAATGTTCAAAATCAAAGTATTTATTTAAAACAGAATCATTATAAATGTGTTTGCTTTTACTTTTGATCAATTTAATGCATCTTTACTCAAAGATGTAAGATTTTAAAAAGACCTACTGATACTCATTTTTTAATTATAGTGTTTGCAAAAATAAGTGTGTGAAGTGAGCCTGGTCAAGTATGATTTTACCCATACTCTAAGGCCCAATCCTAATTCTATTTTTGTACCCCTTCCCCTTGCCCTTGGCCCTTGAAACTGAGAGTGAAAGGGAAGGGCTTTAAAATTTACCCTTAATTATTGGGACAGCACTACAGCACCTGCAAACGTCATCATATGTCATCGCAATTTCATGCTTCATATAAGATCAGACGATCATGACTGCTGTAGTGATTCCAGATGTGTTATTTTTTTGGTTTTTATCTTCAGGAAATCACTGAAGGCATATATTATTTCATCATAACGATCTAATGTGGCAAAAAGATCGTAACTGTACTGTGCATTTACACCGTGGCCATATTCATCTATATAAACGCACAAAAACAACATTAACATTGTAGCAGACTCTGTAGCAAGCTCATTCCCAGCCACTAGACTTTTCTGACAGGGTATTCCAGTGTCATGGAGTGTCAGAATGTTGTGGGACTGCTGTACAGGAGTTATTATTATGGATTTTAGATAGTAAAATTTAGCAGTTTTTATTTTAGCGTTTTTTTTTTATTTATTTTTTTTTACGCTTGACAGTAAAACACAAACGCTGTTATGAATATATTGAAACATATGCTTGTTTGTTGTAAAAAATCATAATAATGACAAAAAAATACTAATTTGTGGATATAATTACTTCCGGGTGCTGCTTTGGCTGGTGTATTCTGGGAAATTTTCTTACCCCTTGGTTTTGAGTGTGGTCCTAAAAATCTTTGTTCGAATGGGTATCTACCCCTTGCCCTTAGCCCTACACCTTCAAGCTAAAGAGAATTGGGAAACCCTTAACCCCATCATCGGAGTTCGCAAAACAAAGAATAGGGGTAAGGGCTAAGGGGTAGAATTGGGATTTGGCCTAAATTGGTCCTCTGCTTTTAACCCATCCAAGAGCACACACACATTTTGAGGGAGGAGCAAGAGCACACACGAACTAGGGTTGAGCCATGTCGACCAATTTGACAATATGAAGCATCGCGATAGACGATGGCATCGTCATTAGCGGCGGTGAATTATTTATGAAAAATGTATTAATTCATAACGAATTAATTATTTGTTGCCTACCATTTTAACTACCTAACCCACATGGTCTTTGTTTTACCCAAAACCAAATCATAAATGAATAAAGATAAGTTACACACATAATTACTACCTGTCAATCACTTTTTCTGCGGGACTCATGAATAGGCAGAGTGATCTGTGTCGTTATAATGGCGTTGACAAACTTGGTTGGTAAAAAAGGTGCACTACCAGCAGGAACCAGCCAGCAGTATCTGAGGTTTTCGCTAAAATTACTAAGTACAAGCATGAAAGCGAAAGATTGAACCAGTCTACTGACCCGCTGACTGCCTGGACCTGCTGTCTCCAGCGCATGACAGTGTGTGTGTATAGTCACGTGATGTGCGTTTTCAGCGCTAGTGTGGAAGGAGGGCTGCTCAGACATGCTAGGTGAAACGCCAGAGTGGATGTGGATCATTTTCATTCTAAAATTCCATTTTAAAACTAAGACCTTTTAGTGTAAACAGGGCCTGAATGTGTATTTTTTCACGAGCAGATTTGCAACGGGGGCGGGGCGGAGGATCGCGATGCCGGCTCAGCATCGTGGTGTCTGTCGGCCATCGGCGATGGACGATGGCACCGTCTATCGGCCCAACCCTAACACAAGCACACACACATGCAGTAAGCATACACTCGGAGCAATGGCGGCAAAAACTATAAATTGCGGACAGCTGCTTCTCACTCAGGGCTGACTATGCTAATGAGGGAGAGATCGTCACTAAGGGGTGGGACTTCCCCCCTCCAATGACATGTACAATATGAGAATATCGATCAAAGTGTTTCTGCAGATTGTTTTCATCAAGTGTGATTATAAAAAAAATTGTTAAGTAATTTTTACCATGGCGGTGCGATGGCTGTCCCCTCACAACAGAAGAGGTTGCTGGTTCGAGTCCCGATTGGGCCATTTGCCATTTTTGCCTGGAGTTTGCGTATTCTTACCGTGTTGGCGTGGGTTTCCTTCAGGTGCTCTATTTTCCACCACAGTCCAAAGACGTGCGCTATAGGTGAATTAAATACACTAAATTGGTCATAGTGTATGAGTGTGTGAATGTGAGCGTGTATGGGTGTTTCCCAGTATTGGGTTGCGGCTGGAAGGGCATTTCCTGCATAAAACATATGCTGGATAATGTGGCGGTTCATTCCACTGTGGCGACCCCTGATGAATAAAAGGGACTAAGCCAAAGGAAAATGAATGAATGAAATTGGCATAGTGTATAAGAGTGTGTGTGAATGTGAGCATGTATAGGTGTTTCTCAGTACTGGGATCCAGCTCGAATGGTATCTACTGCGTAAACGCTTATCCTGAAGTAGTTGGCAGTTCATTTCGCTGTGGCGACCCCTGATAAATAAGGGACTAAGCCGAAGGAAAATAAATGAATGAATGAATGAGTGTTTACTATTAGAGGCTGGTTATATTTAGACACTGTTGTCGCACAGCTGTGTTAAAGCCTTTATGAAAGGATTTTTTGCATAATAGGTTGCCTTTCAAACAAAAAAGCCCCTAATTACGGACATTTTTGCCACAAACCTCTGTTAATTTCAAACCCGGGCCTCGATGTTTATCAGCAGCAGAGCATTCACAGGTAAAACAGTTTGACATCATTAGAAAACAGTAAGAAAAGGAAGCAGGGAGCATTCATCATGATTATCTTGTCAAAATTCAGTCACCCTGATTGTTTCATATTGATCATCATTGATTACAGGCAGAAGGGGAAGAAGCCTTTCAGATCTCTGCGCAATCTGAAAACCGATTTGGACCTGACGGTGGAGGGCGACTTGAATATCATCATGGCGATGGCGGAGAAGCTGCGGGCCGGCCTTCACTCTTTTGTTTTCGGGAAGTCTTTCCTGACCAGCGTGCAGGAGCGCGACCTCCTCATCAACTTCTGACCTCTGAACCTAGTGTTTAACACACCACCACATGCTGCACACTCTTGCGTCTTGATGTTTTATTTGAAGTATATTTATATGTGCTCTTTGTTTACAGCATTCTGCACTGTGCCTGCTGCTGAAATGCCAATTTGTGCAATTTTTGCTTTAGAATAATGACCTGCTAAATGATGAAACTGATATTTGTGGTCTTGAGGTTTATGAATGAATCTGTGGGTTGTGCAAATGGTGCTTTGAAATCACAGTTAACGGCTTGTTGACTAATAGCAAGGGCCACACAGAATCTGCAGAATTTTTTTGCTGTTTCTGCGCAGAATTTTGTAGATAATCTGCAGATTTATGCGGAATGACTTTGGGAGTATCATAATTACAAACTTAATTCATGAAATGAAAATTAATATATTTTTAACTTGTATTTGATGTTTACAATGCAAATCCAACTAGATTCACTTATACATTGGTAAACAAAGCAAGTCTCTTTGAAAGACAGAACATATTCCTTTACACACTATTGGAAATAAATAATATAAACATTTTCATCTTAGTAAATATTATTACTGAAACTAATTTAAAAACTGAATAAATACACAGTATATTTACACACATTTACACAAGTAAATAAATGACAGATCTCTCGATCAGTATCGAGTACCCGATACTAGAGTATCTACCGATACCCAATCAAATACCGATATAATACATTAAAAAAAGAATAAAGAGTTAAGAAACAGATTCAAGATGGTCCTTTTTTTTTTTATTAACCTTATTTTAGTTCAACAAATCTGTTAATAAACAGAGCACTTCTGTGAGGTAGCTTGAGCAGACAAGTAATAAAAAATAGTAAATATAAAAAAAATCTAATATAAAAACAAATAGCACCTCAACTTAAAATACTCGACAGAAAATCCCAAGTTTACATATCTGACAGTTTGTTATGACAATGCTGTCGTCATCAACTTTATAATACCTCCACACTGCAGAAATACTCGCTCTTTTCGTGTTTCTATGTTCTGCTTTGCCCACATTTAACCAATAGCATCTCTGCAACAAAGTGATGTTATGCTGCACGCGTTGCTGTTTTTGTGTGAAGACCACCGCATAACTATAGATGTGTTAAAAATCATTAGAACAAACCTCTAAATGCCATCTAGAATTATCTTCTACAATGAGAATTTTTCTCTGCTTATGTTTGTGTTCAGTTATTTCATGGTAAAATTGTAAAATTAAAGTAAAAAGTAAAAGCCATAAAAGTAAAATTACTCAATCAAGAAATAGGATTTTAGAAGAAAACTTCAAATGGCATATTTCAACTTTTCAAATGGTTTTTGCATCTGTACTCTTGATATATATATATAATGTCTGATTCTGAACAAGTCTGAAACTGTGTGATCGGGTATGGTCTGAAAAATCTGCAGATTTCTGTGTGTGCCTACTAATAGCTAACTAACATTATGTTCCTTCACTTGTAATATGAACTGACAATGTGTAACATGGCGAAGATCAAAACTAAAGTCCATTTAATCTCATTTGGTCTTGGATTTAGGAGACACTTCACCCCAAAAATGTTATGTTTACTCACCATCACATGGTTACAAACCTTTATGGGTTTATTTTCTAAACACAAAAGATGATGGGACAAAGGAAACTGGTTGACATTGACATCCACTGTAGAAGATAAAACATTGTGAAAGTCAATAGCTACCAGTTAACATTCTTCAAAATATCTTCTTTTATGTTCCACGTTAACATTTTGAACAAGTGTGCACTGTAAAAAAAAAAAAAGAAATTCCACACAATTGCTTCATGTTGTCCCGACTCAAATTGATTAAGTTGGCTTTAGTTTTTAGTAGACTAGGTTCTTTTCGGCTTAGTGTCTTTATCAATCTGGGGTCTTCACAGCAGAATCAACCATCAACTTATTCAGCATATGTTTTATGCTGCGCATGCCCTTCCAGCTGCAACCCATCACAGGGAAAATCCATACGCACTCATTCACACACATACACTACGGTCAATTTAGCTTACCCAATTCACCTGTACCGCATGTCTTTAAACTTGTGGGGGAAACCGGAGCACCCGGAGGAAACCCACGTGATTACGGGGAGAACATGCAAACTCCACACAGAAATGCCAACTGACCCAGCTGAGTCTTGAACCAGCAATCTTCTTGCTGTAATGCGATCGTGCTACCCATTGCACCATTGTGATGCCCCTATGTTGATTTAAATGTTTTTCGCAAATTTAAGTGGATTGAACTTACAACAATTAAGTTGTCTGAAAAACCTCAAGAATTGTGTTGATTCAACTGATTTTTGGAGTGTAGAGTAAGTAAATGAGGGCAGATTTTTTTATTTTTGCTTGAACAAGCCCTTTAACGGTCCTTCAGTTTTAAATTAAAACACAATACAGTTATTTATAGTGCGCTTTAATTGAAGTAACCTTTCCTTTGTAATAACGTTTCCCATTTGTCTGTGATCGTCTGACTGAATTCACATGGCAGGTCTGTTATTTCACAGAAGCCCATCTGTGGCTGCCAGACTTTTCTTTGTTCTTTAAGTGGACTTGAATAAACTAAATTAGCAGTTAATTAGATGTCTTATACTTTTTAGTGTGTGTCTGGCTTGGGGCGCGAACATAAGAAAGCTGGTGGGATTGTGGGAAAAGCAAAGTGCAACTTAACTCAGTATATTTAAATAAGGACAAATCTCTGGTGTCCAATGTTAAAGGAAGTCAGCAAATAACAGGAAAAGCCCCATAGTAATCTTGCTTTCATTTTAAAGTGTTCACACACAAGTGTTACATAACTTCAGTATGCTTTAAATCAAACAGGCAGTGGAGGTTAATGTCAACTCCAAATGTCTAATGTGTTGACATAAATGTGATTCTGAATATTTTGGAATGTTTATGAAATCATAATATGGGGCTTACTTTAAACTGTGTTATGTATATTGGTACTTTTCCAAATGCAAATGTGTTGTCTAAATAAAGTGTGCCTTTTGTTTGTGAAACTGAGCTTTTTTCTTTTCCAAAAGAAGCATAAAACTGATGTGTATATTGGGTTTATTATTTGATTAAAACTTCACATGGTTCTTCATATAGTATTTGTAAGCAATCTTAGAAATATAATGTTCTTTTTTATATGTATAATACTGTATTTATGTATTAAATGTCTTTAAAAAAAAAAATTAATTTCAAAAACTAAGTTTTAGGCCTTAAATTTTGGGCCTTAAAAAGTCTTAAATTCACTGAAATATTGTGTTTAAATCATTTTAAACAGGTCTTAATTTTGCTCTTTCCAAGTAGAGCTACCCAATCGGGCTGACCAACAGTCCATCTTAATACAATCAGGAAAAGAAAACTAAAAACAATGAGAGTTACATTCACTCATGCATTCATTTTCAACTGCTTTTTTCGGGACCGGGTCGTGGGGGCAGCAGTCTAAAGACAAAACCCCAGACTTCCTCTCCCCAGACACTTTCTCCAGCTCCTCCGGGGGGGGATGCAGTGGCGTTATCAGGCCAATCAAGAGACTTAGTCCCTCCAGCGTGTCCTGGGTCTTCCCTGTGGCATCCTTCCAGTGGGACATGCCTAGAACACCGCCCTAGGTAGGCATCCAGGAGGCATCCGAAACAGATGCCCGAGCCACCTCAGCAGACTTCCGTCAATGTGGAGAAGCAACAGTTCTTCTCTGAGCTCCTCCCGGATGACAGAGCGGTCAGGGTGCATCTTGCCACCCTGCGAAGGAAACTCATTTTGGCCGTCTGTGTCCGAGATCTTTTCCTTTCAGTCATGACCCAAAGCTCTTGACCAAAGGTGAGAGTAGGAATGTAGATTGAACGGTCAATCAAGAGCTTTGCCTTTTGGCTCAGCTCCTTCTTTACTACAACGGACCGGTACATTGACCGCATTACTACTGCCGCTGCACCAATTCGCCTGTCAATCTCACGTTCCATCCTTCCCTCACTCCTGAACAAAACCCTAACATACTTGAACTCCTCCACCTGGGGTAAAGACTTAAGGACTTTCCTCCAAACTGGAGATGGCAAACCACCTTTTTCTGGTGGAGAGTTATGGCCTCGGATTTGGAGGTGCTGATTCTCATTCCAGCCACGTCACACTCGGCAGCAAACCGCCTCAGTGCATACTGAAAGTCCATGTTTGATGAAGCCAACAGAACAAAATTGTCTGCGAATAACAGTGATCAGATCCTGTGGTCCCCAAACCAGATCCTCTCCAGCCCAAGGCTGTTCTTTGAAATTCTGTCCATGAAAATTATGAACAATAAACAGTTCCTCATGATAATAACAGAGCAATTTATCCCTTTACGTTATTTTCCATTCATAGAAAAACTGTTTACAGAAGTAATGGCGAGTGGTCATAATATTTATAAAAAGAAATGAAACTTAATGTTTTAGAACAAATGCTTTAGGTTGAATGGAGTTTATACTCAATCTATTTGGACCAAAAACTAACAAATATGTTCATTCATTCATTCATTTTCTTTTCGGCTTAGTCCCTTTATTAATCTGGGGTCACCACAGCTGAATAAACCGGCAGCGGATGCCCTTGCAGCTGCAACCCATCACTGGAAAACATCCACACACACACTCATTAACATTCATATACTACAAACACTTTAGCTTACCCAATTCACCTGTATCGCATGTCTTTTGACTGTGGGGGAAACCAGAGCACCCAGAGGAAACCCACGCGGACACAGGGAGAACATGCAAACTCCACACAGAAACACCAACTGATCCAGCCGAGGCTCTAACCAGCAACCTTCTTGCTGGGAGGCGACAGCACTACCAACTGCGCCACTGCTTCGCCTGCAACAAATATATATTTGTGACTATTTATGTAATTGCTTCCACAAAAAAATATATTTTAAGCAATGTTAAACTTGTCATTTAAAAAAAGAATACATATTAAGTTGAAAACAATGTATACAACTAGAGTTTTCTTATTTTGACACATTCAAGTATGTCGCTCAGAAATAATTACATTTAGAATTTTTTTGTGGCAAGCATTAGAAAAAATCATTAGTGTTTAACCCTGCATAAGTCAAAAATTTCATTCATAACAGTCTTAAAAAGTCTTAAATTTGTCTCGATGAAACTTGCAGAAACCCTGTTATTTACACATTCATTTTAATCTAATACAAATACAAAAATACAAAA